CCACCGGTCGGGTCCTCAGCACCAGCAGCAGCTCCACCGTCCGCGTCCTCAGCACCAGCAGCAGCTCCAGCCCCCGGGTCCTCAGCACCAGCAGCAGCTCCAGTGTCCGGGTCCTCAGCACCAGCAACAACACCACCGCTCGGGTCCGCAGCACCAGGAGCACCACTACGAAGACTGCAGCGCCGCGTGTACCACTCGCGGATCACCTGAATGGGGGGGAGCTCCTGGGTAGGAGGGGAAGTACCGGGACGAGCTCCAGAAGCACCTCTCCGGAGGCGGCAGTACTCGAGGTACCTCTCCTGCAGCTGCTGGGAGGAGAGGGCTCCTCCAGGTGGAGCACGCTCAGGCTCAGCACCCCCAGTCTCAGCACCCCCAGTCTCAGCACGTCCAGGCTCAGCACCCCCAGGCTCAGTACCTCCAGGCTCCGCACCCCCAGGCTCCGCACCTCCAGGCTCAGCACCCCCAGGCTCAGCACCCCCAGGCTCCGCACCCTCAGACGCAGCACTCCCAGGCTCAGCACCCCCAGACGCAGGACGCGAGTCAACAGCTACCTCGACAGGCTCACCCGGGTCTACCTGGGACACACCTGAGGGAGCGGCACCCTGAGGGGGGAGGGGGTCTGGTACCTCAGCACCTGGAGCGAGGAAGAGAGGCGGGGGGGGGGAGCGGGGCAGTGCGGTAGGGGAAGAGGCGGTAGAAGGGGACGGACTCGTCAAAAGTGACGTCCTGAGAGGCCAGAACCCGGCGCGAGGTGACGTGGTAAAACTGCCATCCAGGCGCGTCGGGAACAAAGCCAAGAAAGACACAGGGAACAGTGCGACGCGAGAGCTTGTCCGCGGACGTGTCGCGGACAAAAGCTCGAGATCCCCAGACCCGGAAACGCGACGCATCGCCAACCACTTCCGTCCACCGTAGAGTCGGGGAAGTCTCCGGTAAGGAGACACGGGGCCAGAGGTTGAGCTGATGCGCTGCGTACCGGACCGCAAACGGCCACAGAAAGTGGGGAGCAGCCGCATGGGTCAGGGAGGTACGAGCGACCTCCATGACCAAGCCAATGCGGCGCTCAGCGACCCCATTCTGCTGTGGAGAGGCCGGAAGCGTGTACGACTGCTCAATGCCGTGCTCAGCACAGTAGGCTGCCAAGAGGTCGGAGGCAAACTCACCACCTCTGTCAGAGTGCAAGCGCAGGACAGGAAAGTCCGAGTGAAAGCGCTCGCCTAGCTGGAGACGGGCTCGGCTGATCCAGGGGATCAAAACACCAGGGACGTCACCCTTGGCGCGCAAGGGGAAGACCGTGGTGTAGCGCGAGTAGTCGTCAACAACTATCAGGAAGTACCTCTCCTGACCCTGACCACGGACGCGGGCTGGGCCCCACACGTCCATGTGGAGCGTCTGCAGGGGAGCGGTCGTCGGGGGAAAGGAGGAGGAGTGAGGAGCGGTGCGCTGCCGCCCCTCGACACAGGGAATGCAGTCAGGAGCAGGGGAGTCAGGAAGGGGAGGGAGCACCCTGGGAAGACCAGCAACAAGGTCCCGTTTGTGCATGGCCCGCAGGCGCTGCACAGACGAGTGACCAAGGCGGTGGTGCCAGAGGACGGTGTCGTTCGCCAGAGAGCGACACGAGCAGGGGGCGGACAGCTGACCTGACGCTGACGCAGACGCAGCTACCTGAGGGGACTCAGTGGTCAGTGTGTACAGGTCAGACCCCGGCTCTCGAGTGAAAGTAGCTAGGTGGCGGCCCGTCCGAGCACACGTGCAGTGAGTCACACGCTCGTAGGCAGGGGTGAACTGGTGAACACCCCCGTCCTGGAGCGCACTACCTGCCACCAAGTTCGTGGAGAACGAGGGGAGGTAGAGACCTGAGAGCGTGCCGGACGGAACCGCTGGACACGGAAGGGTGGTGGAGGAGGTCGCAAGGACCGGACCCCCAGAGGGGTCAGCAAGAGAGACAGCAACCGGCCGAGCTAGAGGCTCAAGGACAGTGCGGTCACGAAAGAAAGAGCGAGAAGCACCTGAGTCCAGTGTGAAGGTGTGCAGTGCTGCAGTCGACTCAGTACCAGGGGGCACAGACGCACAAGTACCTAGAGCAGCAGCTGCAGTAGTACCTGTGGAAGCAGACACACTAGCACCTAGAGCAGCAGCCGGACTGGCCTGAATGCCCGGGTCGGGCGGAACACGCAAGTACTGAGCACCCTCTCCACTAATAGACATCGCATACATGGCAGTGAGAATAGCATCAAAGTCTAGTGCCCAAATATCAACACCCTTCCTGAGCAGTTCAGCCCAGCGCGGCAGCTCACCCCCACCAGGAAACTGGGTGCGCCACGCATCGTTGAGGCGGGCGAAGCAGCGCTCCGTCTGGTGCGGCCCCCCACACGTCTGGCCAGTGCGGTCACCTGTACGAACAACGTATTGGCAGGTGACGCTGCGCCGCGCATACCACTCACGGGCGGCCTGAAGGGTCGGGGCAGGCTGCTGACTCTGACCGCCCCCCGGGCCTCCACGACCACCACCCCCTCCGCCTCCGCCCCGGCCACCTCCACCCCTGCCGCTGCCACGACCACCTCCGCCTCCGCTGCCACCTCCGCCCCTGTCACCACTCCCAACGCCGCTGTCACCTCCACCACTGCCGCCACTAGCCTCTCCAGTCGCACCTCCACCGCCACCACCTCCACCCCCGCCTCCTCCGCCACCACCCCCACTCCTGCCACTCCTGCCCCTGCGTCGTCCGCCTGAAGCAGACGCAGCCCCGACCTTCTCAGCACCAAGGAGGTCGACAGCAGCAGCAGAGGCGACAGAGGGGAGGAGGGGGGAAGGGGAGCACCCCTCGAAGAAGGGGCCGCGGGGGTCGCCACGAGAGGTGCCTACAGCGACGATACTAGCCTCGGCTGCAAGCAGTTCCTTCTCGAGGAGGTCTACGGTGAGCTCAGTGGGGGAGCGAGAGAGGAACTGGTCCCTGACAGGGCGCAGAGAGTCAGGGAGGCGGGTGACAACGTGGTAGAGAGTGATCCAGAGCGGGGGGGGGTTGCTAGCGAGGAACTCGTCAGGCATGGCAGCGCGAAAGCGAGCCTCACTAGTCTTAAGGTGGGTGATGAGGTCTGCGACAGTGTGAAAGGAGGCTAGGTCGGGGAACAGGTAGGGGAGAGTGAGGCGGCCTAGCGTGGCAGAAGCGGGTGAGGAGTAGCGGGCCACTACAGCTGTGTAGAGGTCCTTAGCAGTCTTGCACTGGCCGAAGTGCTCGCGCTCATCTAGCGGCAGGGAGTTGCGAATAGCAAAGCGAGCGTGCGCGTCACGGGTCTGCCACTGTGAGCGCTCAGCTGGGGGGGCAGTAGCGAGTGGGGCGGTCGCATGGCCGAGAGCGTGGTCGTACAGTGTAATATCTTCCTTGGCAGTGAGCTGTAGGAAAAGGTGCAGGTCATCTAGCCAGGTTTCGAATTTGACCGGACGGCCCTCGGCGTCGAAAGCTAGAACAGGAGGACTAGCCATAGCGACAGCGGCAGTAGTAGAAGCAGTAAAGTCACTGAAAAGGCGTGCGCAGGGTCAGTGGGGCCGGTGGGGCCTACGGACTGTAGTGGCGCACAAGCAGCAGTAGCAGGAAGTGTAGTAGTAGGATCTGCAGTGGTGCACAGGCGCAGCAGGCGGCAGCGAGAGCCGGCGCAGCAGGGGCGGGCTCAGCAGCGGTGATACGCGGGCGGCGGCGGGCGCAGCAGCGGCGGTGCGCGGGCGGCGGCGGGCTCAGCAGCAGCGGTGCGCGGGCGGCTGCGGGCTCAGCAGTGGCGGGCCGGGAGCGTGCGGGCCGTGCGGGCCGTGCGGGCCGTATGTGAGCTGCGCGGGCAGCGTGCGGGCCGGCGGCGGTCAGCGCAAGAGCCGCGCAGGCTCAGCGCGGGCTGCGCGGGCTGCTCGCGGGCTGCGTAAGCGGGTCGCGGGCGGCTCGCGGGGGTTCGCGGGCAGGTCGCGGGCTGCTCGCGGGCAGTTCGCGGGCTGTGCGCGGGCTGCGCGGGCTGGTCGCGGGCTGCGCAGGCGGTTCGCGGGCTGTGCGTGGGCGGTTCGCGGGCTGTGAGCGCGGCGCGCTGTGCGGTTCGCGGGCGGCGTGACGGGGCCGATCGGGGCGCTAAGGGGCGACGCGACGGGGGCCGTGAGAGGCCGCTAAAAAAAAATTCGAAGGGGCCGCAGGGCCGCTAGATCGTGCTAGATCGACGGGGCCATCGGGGCCGGAAACAAGCGAAGGTAAGCAGGTAGGTAAGTCGCTGGGCCATAAGAACAGTCCTAGCGAAGGACCTGCTCTGAAACCATGTCAGAAATAACTGAGCAGGAATGAATGAACTAGAACAGAGTTTGGTACAAGTAGGAAACCCTAACTTTGTGTACCCCCTAAGGTGTAACCCACTACAGCCTAGACAATATAAACATGCAATGTTTGACAATATATTCACCAAGGCACTTCCGTCTGGTGATCCTCAGTGCTTTTGTACTTTGTTAGGCCTTGTACCTACGTTTCCACACTTGCTGTAGACTTTGTTTGTACTGTGATCTATACATATATACTTGCATGCCTGTTGTTGCTAGGTAGTCATCACTGTACTGTTATTGCTGCATATATATCTCTGCATGTGAACTGACCTTGTGGCCCTTTGCTTGTGCTCAGTGTGTGTGGTGACGTTGTGATCCACCCTGAGCTTGCTTTGCTTTTCTTGACTGGTCTTGTGACCTCTTGCTCTCCCCCACTTTGCCTATGGGGGTGTGTCAAACATATATATATGTTGTTGTACTTATGGTAGGCTGTAGTGGGGTAGATACTGTGGGGTATAACCCCTTAGGGTTTTCCTACTTGTAAAAATTCTCTCGATAGTTGAAACCACCTTGCCTAGCTATTCCAACAAGGCGATCCATACTCCGCGGAAATTCTACTAATGCTGAACGATTCTTAATGACCAAGATGCGGAGATTGTAAAGAAGGAAGAGGGAGTCAGTAAGCGATGTCAGATTTTGACAATTCGTGATGGTTAGCATTGTGAGAGAAACGAGGTGGGACAATGCGGTTGGAAGCGAAACAAACCATTCACATTCCACAAGCTTAACTGGAAGAAGGAATCTGGGAGACTGGTAATGGGGTAGTTGTCTTTCAAGTGAAATTCTTGGAGGTTCTGAAGCTGGCCTATGGAGTCAGGGAGAGCGTCCAGTATAGTCACTCCAAGGCTGAGTCTGACCAGTGATTTCAGGCCACCAAAGGAGTCAGGCAGTCGTGTTAATGGACAATTTATAAAATTCAACTCAGTCAGACTGGTGAGGTGGCCGAATGATTCCGGGAGGTGGGCGTTCCACGAGGTGTCGAGTGTGAGCTTAGTCAGGGATATTAACTTGTCGAATTCATCAGGAAGCTTGTCAAAATTCACATGCAGATCTAAATCCGTCAAGGATGAGAGATTGAAGAAGGATGGAGGCATATCACAAGAGCCTTCATCGTAAATCGTCGACGTGTTAAGAGAGAGATGCTGCAGCGTAGAGCACGTTGTGAATAGGGCATCTGCACCTTCATACGTCAACCCTATCTCAAACTCGTTGTTGAGGTCAAGGTGAGATAACTTGGGACAGACAGATCCTAGGCCACGGATGAACTCGTCATTATTGGGATCAATGACGCACTTGTTGATCGTGAGAGAGGTTAGACCTTTGAATTGGGAAAAGGATTTCAGGAGGCCAGCATCTGCAGAAAGGCTAGGTGAACTATTGGCGATGGACGTCTGTGTAAGGTAAGCGAGGCGATTCCATCGCTTACAGACCAAGGCGTGATTGAAGTAACTGGGTGACTGCTGGTTCACACAACGGAAGATGGGGATGATGAGGTCGTCCGGCAGCCGATTAATCTACGCTAGCAACTTGAATCTACGGCGACGCGAGACCCGGGTTCGCAATGATAGATCTATTCCAACTTGGGACATTGCTCACGCGTCGCCGCGATTTACGTTAAATCCGAGTAATAACAGGTAGGGAAAAGAGGAGAATCTAGAGGCTGTCTTGCGTGGATGGCGTTAGCTTCCAGCCGAGAAACAGCGCTGATGAATTCTGGTCATCGGCGTTGGCTTCTTGCCTTGAATCAGCTTGTGGGAATTGGGCAAGCAGAAAGAACTTCACCACGTTCCAGGCAGCCCCCCTAGACCTCGTTGCTCAGCTGATGAACACTACTAGGGCGCTGTGCAAAGCTTGCGATCATCGTGACTGGTGTGTCGTCAACTTTTATGCACACTTTAGGGATGTCAACGAGAGAACACTGACCTTGTAAATAGTGTTACAATCCAGGCGTTTCAGTTCGCACAGACGACCAGCAAGCCCTCAACCGGGCAATTTGTTCGTTTAGGGCGGGTCTAACTTTGCACATGTACGGTTAATTTTCATCTCAGTTACCAGAATAAAGCATGTAACAAAACTTTTAACGTACGAAATCCGTTGACGCGAGATTGTACATAAATGAGCTCATTTCGGAAACGTGCCCCGGGACGTGAGGAACACATCCGAAGGCTCGTCTCCCAAATCGCTTCCCGTCAAAGTCGTCAAACAGTAACTCCCGTTTTCGCCAAACTCTTTTCGTCATAAATTAATTCCCTTCGCCCATGTTACGAATAGTAACATTTAATTGTTACTGAGCACTCCTCACCGCAGCAAAGAGAAGCACGCAGTATCGAAGCAAGAAAGCGAACCGTCAGACAGTTGGAGTTTGACTCGAAGTGTCAGACAGTTGGGTCGCATCTGGACCGTCGGAAGCATACGGCATCGGACAGATGCATGCAGGATGTTTTGGCGGGAACAGTTACGAAACTGTACGCGCCGCACGGTTGGGAATGTATTTGAATAAGGGAATGTACCCCTTAGAGTACATGGCTAGTTAGGTCGTTTCGTCTTCCCTGTACTCATATTTATACTTGCTGTATTTGCATGTTTTAATCATCTCAAGCATTTTACATTCACTCTGCTATTGAGGTCACGGGCCCACCAACTAAAATTCTCTGTGTGCGAACCTTCCTGAGTAGATCCTGGCAGCGATCATTCTCTGATCCTGGTATGAGAGCGGCTCGGGAATCCTTCGCAACACCACTCCCGAAAATTGCGACACTCGGAAAGTGGCGACCGGCACACGCTCGCGTGTGAGAATGGTCTGGTGGTCAGACTAATCTGACGGCTGAAGCGCGCACCAATCCGGCTGCGACAAGCGAGGAAACGACTACGATCGGCACCGAAGTCCTCGCACAACTCCTTCAGCGACTCACCAGTCTGGAGCAAGGGCTCCAAACATTGCGGAACGGCGATGCGGGAACATCCTCGCAACCATCCCAACCGGGCCCAACTGGGCAGAACACCGTCCCGCAAACCTTCTCCCTCGACACAAATGGCTCAACTCCCAAGACTCCCCGTCCCAGTGAAGAAGCAATTCTCTCCGCTCAATCAAAGTTTCTGAGCATATCAAAAATAAAGACAAGTTCCAGCTTTGACGGCAAAGACTTCTATACCTGGAGCTTCGAATTGGAGCTCCTGCTGCAGAACGCCCAAATCTTCCATTACTTCGACGGGAGCTACGCCGAGCCTGCCGAGGACACCGACGACGCCAAGGCGAGGTATTACAACGAATCACTGATGGCGTACGGGGTGCTCCTGCGGAATATGTCCCCGGCGGAGCAGCTGAACATTCGTTCGTACAAAACGACAGCTGCTCCAGCCCTCAACGCCTGGCGACACCTGACAGGAGTGTATCAGCCCAAGGACTCTGTCTCGTCGAGCCGACTGCTCCAGGAACTCCTGGAAACCAAGATGACCTCAGGGGAGAAGGTCAACACTTACCTTAACCGCTGTCGGAGCCTTCGCGATCAAATCGTGAAGTTGGGAAGCACGATATCTGAAGAAATCTTCGTTAACATCGTACTTCAAGGGCTCGGCCCAGAGTGGCGGCCCTGCAAGGCGCTTCTCCGACAGCAGGGGGTCATCTCGGAGGCCGCCCTTTGCGCCGCCCTTCTCGTCGAACAACGGGATATGGACCAGCAGCGACCAGCGCCACGACGAGAAAGAGAACGGCTCGCCTTCTACGCCGACAACAACGAAGAGCGACGGCCGAGGCGCCTTTACTGCAAAATCTGCAGGAACTTCGGGCATCTGGCAGATCGATGCAAATCCCGATCTCGCCCTCGCCAGACCAATCCGAGCAACTGGTCCGGCCGACAAGACGTACGAGGCGACGTGCGTCCAGCCCAGGGCTATCAGCCCCCTCCCACGCGCAACCTGAACCCCGCGGTTCAGCATCAGCAGCAGCAGCCGCCATCGACTGCCTCAGTATGCAATGTCATGAGCAACATGGCCATGACTGGCGAATCACGACGTCGTCGCGCGCGCTCACCATCACCTGAGCCAGCACCGCATCCCATTGGCGCGTTCTCTAACAACAACCCATTCAGTCCGCGCCACGACTTCACCGACGACGACGACCAGGACTGGAATCTCCCAGTCCCGCTGCTTGAGAGTCCCCCGCACGTACCCGACATGCGGGTGGCGCCACTTGATTGGCTCTCGCGCGAGCAATTTCTGAAGTTCGATACCCCGCACATCGTCACGCCGCGACTGGCGCTGCTCGCACGTAACAACAACAAGCGCAACAACACCTGGTACTTGGACAGCTGCTGCGGCCAGCACATGGTGGGCTCCGAGCGTTACATATCCAACGCCGTCCCCACCCCTACCGTCACTCACGTCACTGTGGCGAACAACACGCGCCTGCGCGCAAGCGCGCAAGGCATCGTCGTGCTCAAGGCACGCGGAAGCCGCACGCACATCACGCTCAACGATGTGCTGATCGTCCAGAACCTGCGCTTCAACCTCCTGTCCGCCGCACAGCTCATGGATTGCGGCGTAGAACTCAGCACAGATCGCGCGACGCGCGACATTCTGCTGCACTACGAATCACGCACTTTTTCCCGCAGGCAGATCGGACGAGCACACTCCGAAAATGGAGTGTACATCCTGGATTTCGATATTCCCGACTGCAGCGGCGACTCGCACGAGCTGATTGACCTCGTGCCACTGCGATTCGAACACATCCACCGCAGGGACTGGAAGCACCCTGACGGCAGGCCGTGGGTGCCGCATCATCCCCACCCACGCGAAACGGCACTTCACAACCCCGATCCAGATGGAATCTGCAGGGATTGTCACACGCCGACGACCTCGACGAGCGCGATTGCAGGCCGCGGACTCGCCGCCATCGCGGAAGCAGAACGCCACGCGCCGCCAGAAGAAGGGATGTCGCAACTCGAACTGCAAGTCACCACTCAGCGTGTGTTCGGCACCGACCAAAGCCCCCACGCTGGACCACCCTCTCAGCGCCTTGAAGGCATTCTACGTGGACAACGCCGCGGAACCTTCGACACGCGCGGAATGGCGCGGCCTTACACCCGCGAGGAGTTTCTGAAGATTTACCCCCACTGGCGCGATCCCACGGCGCCACTCACCGTGGAACAGGAGGAAGAACTGGCGCGCCGCGAAGCCGAGGAGCTTCGCCAACAAAGCCTCACCGAGGCACGCGGAACGTTCGCTTGCGCCGCATGGGGCGCCGAAGCTGAAGAAAGCGCCACCAATGAAGGGGGGTGGGGAAGCGTCGGCGGACAAGGAACGACTGAGGCTGGCGACTGGGGCAACACAGGCGGAACCTGGGCAACCGCAACCGGCGGATGGGGCGCCGCATCTGGCGCCGACACGAGTAACTGGGGCACCCCTACTAGAGGCTGGGGGACTTCCCGCGAAGACCAAAGGGGGGGAGAAGAAGAAGCTGGAGAGTCTGCAGTTGTTCCCCTCGGTCGTCCCCCACGCCATGTCCCACTCGCGTTACCTCCTCCTGACAACCCACCGCGCCGCGATCCATGGGACACCATCGCCTGGGGCAACGAGCCGTCAACCCCGCACCGGCTCCCGAACCACGCGAACCAACCCTCGTCCCTGGAACCATCCCTGGGACCAACATCCCACTCTCTGAGATTCGCGACAGAGAGTTCCTGGCGCTGATGCTGACTACCGCGGCAGAAGAAGAAGATGCAGAAGAAGCAGTAGCAGAACCTGCTCCCGTACCTGATGAAGACCCGGAGGAAGCCCGCGCGCGCTACATGCGCACCTCCGGCTTTCGCGCCGACGATGCACTTTGGCACCAGCGCCTCGGACATCCTTCTCGCGCAACGCTGAAAAATTGTATCGACGCAGGCGTCTTCGTGTCAGAAGAAGAGACTGGAATGATTGAACTAACAGAGAAATCAGTACAAATAGCAAACCCTAGAATTGTGTACCCCATATAGGCTAACCCACTATAGCCTAACAAACCCAACATATATAATGTTTGACACACCCCCATAGGCAAAGTGGGGGAGACCTAGGGGTCACAAGACCAGTCAAGGCAAAGCAAGGCAACAACAAGCTC